TTACTCACATTCCTCAGAACTTCCAGTCAACCATACACCATGGAAACACTAGACTCCAATACAAGAGCGAGACTTTAGATTAGTGTTTCCGAGTGTATGGTTGACTGCAAGAGTTGAGGAATGCGCGTAAAGGTAAAGTCTGAAGGATGGTTAGTTCTAACCAATCAATCACGTAATACCAATTATTCCACGCTACTACTCACAAGTAGCTGTGAGCTAAATGCGAAATAATAAAACAGTGTTTCTCTCCGCATCCATGAGACACGGTGTTGTAATCCTATCGGGTTCTGACTGAGAGTTAGCCATATACATGCACAGTTATCCGAGCGGCATTCCTCAGAAAGGTTTCCACAGGGTCAATAACTCTTCTATGAAGCACATAGGGTTCCAGAAAACACGAATAAGCCATATGAAGATTACAATCCGTAGTTTAGACCCCGTTGGAGAACGTGGTCTCCCAACTTTGCAACAGTTCTCATCAGTTGTACCTCTTTAGTTTAGGATTTGTGATTTGGCTTGCTTTGAAATACAGTTCACAAAAGACAGTAGCATGCCGGAAGTTCAGATTGATTGCCGCGTTCATGTTCCGTCTCCTGAATCAGCACATCTAAGCCAATCTGACACAGGGCAAGAAAAACCGCACTATCCGCCAAGGAACCTTATTATTTCGTTTTCGCTTTAAACGGGAGCATTGGAAATGACTTGAAAACTCACCACAGTATGTCATAACACAAAAACATTTCTTTTCTGAGTTTGTAAGTTACTTTGTTCGTGGCGCTGTATTGATTCAGTGGATGAATCACGATTGAAACTTAAAAGCCGACGAAGCTGTTCGAGAGGCTGTTCTACTCACGTGTCTGATCAAATGTAGCGTAAATCCAGAACTACTCTGGGTAGCAAAAAAACTGAATAGACTACTAGTCAGTGAATAAAATATGTTGATAAATTTTCTTTCCACATCGGATTTTTTCCAACGCCCAAAGCCCTATCTTGCGGTTGCCCTGTTGACTTTTCAACGGCATTACAGTCCACATTGGAGATTTTTCCGGCACAAGCATGTCATTGGTAACAAGAGGGATGGAAATGATTTCCGATGATTACACAGACAACTTGTCCACCTTCACATACTTCAACGTTACACTATTGTTCATTTTTGTGAATGAATCAGTCATTGATTGTCATGTGAAATTTTTGGGTTTGTTAATCAGGAATAGAATCCATAAATTGTTTTCAAAAATTTTGTTTGTAAGCAAGATTCAATTAGTAATGCAGTGCACATCATGCTTGTATTTCGTGCCCGTTTCCAGCAAAGTACAAGCTACGGTACATTTGACAACCTTAGGAGGCACACCTTCCTCGCCGCTTAGTGAGCACGTGAACAAGCACTTATATCGATCGGTCAGGATCTCGTGGAATCAGACACTGCATGTGTAGTGGGCTGTCAACACCTCTAACACAGCCTCTATGGGCTACTGCTTGTGCGCACAATATTGATGATCCGCAATCCTGATCTTTTTCTCACAAATGCAAAGGAAATTTTACCATTGAATGAGCACAACATAACTGGCACCTAGCCGCTTTGTCTACGAGTGCAAAACACTGGGAGAAAATTCATCTACAATGTCGAATAAACCCACGGCACGGTATGTTGGCAGCTCTGATCATTGAGTTGAATTTGGCCCGTTCAGTGGCCTGAAAATCCACTGGGAGAATGTGGTCCAGCAATAGGGATTTCAACTTCTCGAACAGCAGTTCAGCAGAAACATTCGGGAAAGCTAGATTCTTCACCAGGGAATACAGCTTACGGTCGCCCAACGTCAAAAATAGAACCGACTGATTTTGCATTCCTCCTTTCCGGATGCTGCACCATAATTCGAAACGTTCTACCCACTCTTCGATTTCTGATGGGCTTCCGTGCAGGTTCAGTGGTTCAATGACAGGAATCTCCGTTGCGCGACGCCAAATTGTAGTAATCGGAATAGTATTGAATTTAGGTATACGACAATCCGTACCGTACTGCTCATAACTGAATTAGCTCCAACTGCGGACACCAATGAAATACAAGAGGAATTGATAGTAGCAAATGCTTATGTTTATTGATGGAATTAGATCATGTTTTATAGAATTTAATAGTCCATATGATTGGTTGAACGAGCATCCTCTAATCACGCAACCATTTGCACCGACGTATCATATGTGCTAACTCGGATGTCATGTTCACCCGGTGTACCATTGGTCGAGCTTCCTGAACGGTGATTGGATGACATGAAACTGTACCTAGTCGTGCATGGATAGCGGTTACGGAAGTCTGGATCACCACACAAACCTAGCCCTTGTTTGTTGAGTCTGATTGTGTGTCTGTGTAATCTCACCGATCTCACTGGTTATTTCAAAAGTCACAGAATTCATACCACTATCTTACCGCAAAAGTGACAGAACGAGTCTAAAATTTCAGACACGTTCATGTCACTTCGTAGTTTGACCGTGCGAAAATGTCCAATCGGATGAAAGAAAAGATACGAGGGTACTTTCTTGTTTGAATGGCAAAACATCTCGGTCATGTTCTGTTCAGTTTTCGAAGGTCAAATCAGTGCAAAATTGTGCCTCTCGAATTCCGAAATTAGAGAAAATAAATGTTTCTTACGTTCTTTTTTTCTTTATCGCATGCACAAGGTACAGTCGACTTTCAGGAAGAGTGCTCTGGCCATACAAAGGCTGTCTGGAAGAATAAAGAAATGGGGAAGATGGGCGGTGGTGAAGCGGTTCGAACCCGGGACATCCGGTCAATATCGGGATGGTCTTAACCACTACTTGGTCAGGGAACGAGTGAAATCCGATTGGAATTGTTTATTTTCCATGACTCATCTGGCATTCCAAAACCGATTAGATTTGATGGGTTGGCGCTTTCACTAAAGTATATTGAGTAATGCACTCATCTCTCGGTAGTACTTCACCTAGTTTTTGGTGAATCGAACCCCTTTATTGAACAGAAATACTTCTGTAGTATCTGCCTGTTCAGTGACCTTGTTTTAAGAACACTTCAAAAAAATGGTAAACAAATCTTCGTAACCATCCCAGAATAGAAAGAACCCATAGGTTTCCATCCTTTCTTTGGATGGCCCACCCATTTTTTACGAACATTTCTTCACGAGTATCAAGCGCTGTAATTGACCCCATTACATCAAAACAGAAAGAAGACAAATGTCACGAGATGTTACCGTTTCGTTTAATGTTCCAACAAACAGGCCCATATATAGCACATAGGAGTAATCAATTATGGTGCACGAACGTGTACAAGCATACAGAGATGACTAAATCTGTGGAAGTAGAATGTCAACTCCACGTAAATGGATTGATTGTATCAAAGGTCGGGTGATATAATCGAATAAGCAATGCTTCACCAATCGCCAAACGAATAGTATTTCGATTACGTAATAGTGGTTTGAAAGACGAATTCGAGTCAACTCTGTCTTGTTGCCATCAGATGTTTTGCAACAGCTGACCCTGAATTTCTTGTAATCACTTGACCATCAATTATCGGTTGCGTCATCAATTTCACCACCCACCTTGGAATATGCTCGATCATCCGTAGAGAGAGCTGACGGTTTGTTCTGCCTATGTATGCGTCACCCCAACTGCAGGTGAACTGGTCTACAGTGTGTAAGACGGAACTGGTTTGCCAGCCAGGTTTATGTTAGTGTAAGTCAATTCCACGAGTGGAGGCAATGAGTCTGAAATGAGCAGCTGGGAATATACGGTCCAGAGCTGACCTCAACTTCTGGCGCACATCATTGTAAATGTGGTCATCTTTGAACGCAAGCTTGATGTAAATGGCCTTTTTACTGACATTTTAGGTTGGGGTGCCTTTTGGGAATGGTCTACTGTGAACATCTATAAACCTTTCTGGGTAACCATTGTTTAGCAATGTTTTCCTTAAGAAATCCTTTTCTTCCTTTAGTGTATCTGGAGAACAAATGTTTCTCGTAATCAGCCTAAACTTCCAAGTAGGGACTACCGTAATACGGTAGTCCTCCAACCCGGACCCTGTCCCCCCCCCTCCACCCCCCGCGTACTGAGCTCGTGCTGCTTTGACCACAGTTTTCTTTCTCTCGCTTATTTGGATTTAGAGCTTTGGCAGATATGCACACTTAGCCATCAACGAGATCATTGATGCGGGAAATCGTTCAGGTAAACTTGCTAAATCGTTTTTGGAGTCCTATTTAGTCCACCCAAACTGATTACATCCCCTTTCCTCAACGAAATTTGATCTGCGAACTTAGCTGCCTATTTGTTCTCTGATACACCCCTGTATCTTTTCAGTTCAATTCCAAAATGACAAGCAATCAGTTTTAAATCGTCTTCCTTCCGTGTACGCGCCTGAGGTCCTCGTCATCAATGTTTTTATGATTGAGTCGCGAACTCATGTCCATTTATTCACTTTCGCTGATTATGTCTAATTTCTTTGCCCACATCCCCGCGGAATTTAATTCTGTTATTCAGAAGGCGATTGCCAAAGGCGATTTTTATTTGAACACAGCTGTTTACCTTACATGCAGTAGTACACCACTCAACTGGTGTGATAGGGACCGAAATTGGATTCTCACCCCACCCCACTCCACTCCGTAAGCCGCCGTTGTTAATCGACAACCAGTAGCGACCAATTGTAATAGGCTACTAACGATCGCCACCGGCGACGTAACGACGAGAAATCCTGTCGCTGCTAGTTCGGTTGATCACGTTGTTAAATTCTTCAATTTAATTGTATCCATTTCTTTTGAACACGAGCAGTCTCAAAAGACAAATGATGACCTGAATTAGTCACTTATTTACCTGCTTAACATTTACCAGAGCTCAGATTGTCGCTTACAATTTTCTTGCAATTTCATCTCAATCTTTACAGTCCATGGGCATGTTGCTGTCCTCGGACAAAACCGGATAGTCTGTACGACTATTGTCGGCAGGATAGCATTCGTCCAAACGAATGTGGCACATCCGATTCAATGCTTGAACGCAATCCCAAAGAGACCGGACCGGCGAGGGATACGGGTGCTAATAAAGCAAGCGATTTGCGTCACGCCCTGATCCGTGCTCCCGTTGTTCCCACAGAACAGAAAACCTCGGTGTGGATCGAGAAACAGCAACAAATGGCTCGACTTCCCCCACCTCCACCATCAGCTAGTCAGTTCTCAGCCAGTTTGTCCCCCGGATCTAGTGTGGAATTTAACTATCCCCGACGTTTGATGGATAACTCCTCTACACCGGGAGCTTCTGGACACTTATCCTCAGGCTTTCAGCTCAAGCCGTGGCCAACAGACAGCGTGAGCGGACCAGACGAGAGTCTTGAGGCAATGGCTACAGATGGTCAACTGTGGACTCTCTATAGTGGACCAAGTTTAGACACGGAAAACAGCGAAGGTCGAGACGGCCAAAGCGAATGTACGGAGTTGAGTAGCAATCCCGGCCGACCTCCACTGCCTCAAAAGTTACCCCGAAATGTATTCGTCACCGGAGACAAAGGCCACGCAGCGGTCCGACTAGCTGCTAACCAAGCATTCAGCAACTCACTGAGGAAACCACCGCATTTGATTGAATACCAAAGACAACGCGGTACAGGAGCTACCAGTAGCGGTGGAGAGGAAAGCCGTCTCGGTGCAGGAGAAATCACGGATTGGTCCCGTCGTCCGGGAACACAGAGTGCGAGTAGTCAAAGTGAACACAGCGGTCAGAAGGTGCTGATAACCACCCCAACGGAACAGGTCCCAGAAACGAGTGTATCGCTAAACTCCGCATTGCATCGACGTCCAAGCACCACATTGATTGCTTTGACAAATTTCCGAAAAGCCGACGACAATCGACCGGACCTAGTGACACCGTATGCGCAATTTCAACTATCTCCGGAACCCAGTATGCATAATTTTAGTTGAGTAAAAACATCCTCGAATATAAATATCTTTTGTTCCAGGATCGATTCCTGTCGTTCCAGAAATTTCGGAACACACCCATAGACCCACATTACTAGGTATATTGCACAAATACGCAAACCCCGAATGCAGATTACTTTGGTGTGTTACCGGAATAAAAGACAAGACGCATGCGACCCTTCTCGATCCCACACAACACTGATTCTCGATGTAAATTCGTTCCAGTATATGCGTTTTTTCTTGTTTGTTTGTTCCTTGCATTTTGCCATGCAAATTGTCCGTCTGAAGCAATCAGATGGTTTTCCTCTCCCCCACTCACCCACATACTCACGAAAATTGTACATTCAGTTAATTAAATTCTGGGTCTATTTGATAGATCCCACGATTTCCCAGCTTTCATAACACTTGCGTTTTCAAATTCTTTTCAGTTAGACCAGGCGGTATTTTTTGTTTAATAATTTTTTTTTGGGGGGGGGGGATCTAAATGGTCCACCAATCGCTCGGAAGTACTCAAACATGTGGAATAAGCATAAAGGGTTCCATTCTTTTGTTCGATCAAACAGATTCCAGTAGGAAATTATCTCTGATCCTCTTGCGCACCCTTTATCTCCTAGTACTTGTTTGCTGACGAGGGTTTCATTTCCAACGCGTATTGAAAATAAACGATCTCACGAGAAACCCCGAAGGTGAACCTTGGGAGCGGAATGTAAAATACAGTGGTATCGCGCCGTGCACTGAGCGGCCAACTGAAAGTGTGTCCGAATAAAGCACAATTACACTTATCAGTTTGTTAAAATGCTTTCAAAAAATCAAGACACGAACAATATTCGAATTCATTTCATAATTTGCATGTTTCACTCGCTCATCACCATTCATCTCCCGCAATCGTACAAACTTTCGCTTGTTTGAGTTTCGCGGAAGGTTCATCATGAAGTGGAACAGACTAACTTAGGGTGTCAAAGCGAATTTGATCCGCATGTCTTCTGTGTGCAGACAAATCATCCTTATGGAGCAGTTGAAACATTCTTCGACCTAAAGACTTTAAGACAATTCCTGAAGAGTGCCTCAGGTTATTCCCACGGAAAAATATAACTTCAGAGAAATTGACATACAATAAATTTGATCTCGAACTTCGACCTTTGGAAAGTTTTGAGGGTGTTTCTTTAGTGGCGGAATGAACAGAATTGCGATATTATAAAAGCAACAGGTCAACACCTCTCTCGAGTTCAGAAAATGTGAATAGATTTAAAGCAATAATAGCATTCCTAAGTGTTCTAACAAAATTCTCTGCTTGTCCATTAGAGCAAGGGTGTCTGGGAGTGGTAAACAGATGTTTGTATCCAGTGTTATGCAACCATTCTGAAATACTTTTCGTGGAGAAGTGACTGTCATCATCAGTAACAAGTACAACAGGAAAACCCTTCCGGCTGAAAACTTCACGCAAAGCATGAGTAGTAAAATCTGATGACGGTAACCCAATGAAAAATACATCTGGCCACTTAGCGAAGGATTCAATGACAACAACGGTATACCTTCCATTGAGAAATGGACCACCATAACCAGCTTCCGTTGAAACAGGTGACGGAACCTACTTGACAGGCAATTGGCGAGCTTTTTCGTAGCATTTCGGACAGCTCTTTGCTTTGCAACATATTTTGGCATCTATGTTCGCCCACCAATAAGTTAATCTAGCTAATGACTTCATCTTTTCTATCCCAAGATGGTCGGAATGTAGGTCCTCAAGTACAGCATTACACAATGTCAGTAGAATAACAACTCTGCCGCTCAAACGCAGTAATCCATCAGGCGTAATCGAAAGTTCATCACGACTAGCACAGTGATAAGGAAATCGCTTCCTGGCCTGTGTATTCGAACCTTTCTTCACGGCAGCCATCACAGCGGAGAAATAAGGACGTGTGTGACGAATAAGTTCCTGAAGACTCACAGGGAGAGGTTGTACCAGTAGTGAATCAGAAATGTCCTCTGAGTCACAACCGGGCAGTGATTGACGCGAAGTATAATCCACGTGTCGGATGTGATTGGTACTGCTATGTTCAAGTGTGTGGTCCTATGCCATGAGTGAGATACTCCAACGCTGAACCATAGCTGCAAAGATTCTGGAAAGGGATTTCCCAGGGTCGAAAATAAATTTAAAGGCCTCATGATCGGTACCGATGGTAGAACGATTACCAAAAAAGGAACTTGTGGAGGCAATTCACTACCCAATACACAGCGAAGGCTTCGCGATGAGTTTGAACATAACCTCGTTCAGCTGCCGTTAATCATCGAGACACAAATAACTGGATGCCAATTTCGTTCAAGAATAACACCGATTCCACCAGGTGATACATCAGTAATAAGAGTGGAATGAATTTCCGGACCGAATGGATGGTCTGCAGAAAATTCAGCAATTCACGTATGCAATGTTCATGAACATCAGTCCAAACAAGTTTGTCAGAAGGTGAGAACAGAAATAGGGGTGAAGCTTTCTGACTGAAATTGGGGATAAATCTAGAATAGTATTGTAAGGCTCTATCCAGGGATCTTAGTTCGTGTTTGTTAGACGGATTTTGGCTTTCGTTAGAGGCAGCAGGCAGTTCGGGTCAGGCTGGTAACCTTCGTCATCAACTAGATCTCCAAGACATTCAAAACGAGAAACATAAAATAAACACTTTCTAGGATTAACAGCAACATTTTTATCAGAAAGCCTTCGAAAGAGTTCAAGCAATCGTACATCATGAGTGGTCTCGTCCGGAGCATGAACAACACCGGACATAAAGTTAGTAATGTCATTCATAACTTGTTGGAATATGGCAGGAGAAATGGATAAACCAAAAGGTAAAAACTTGTACAGTCAACCTCCTGCTATATCGAACCCCTCGGGAATTCGAAAAAGCCGGTGAATTCCAGGAACTGCGACAGCATGGCTTACAGTAATATATGCTAATAAGCAGTATAAAAATCGGTTGGCAGTTTTGTGACAAAATAAACCGGATCGGTGAAAAGCGGATTAATTTCGTCAGTTGTTTTCAATGTTTATAATCATAAACTGTTTATTTATAACGGACTTTAGATCTACCGTCCTGCTTGTCCTTTATGTATCGAAGAAATTTAACCCTTTTATCACGCCCTCAGCTTAACATCGGTACATTGCATGCGGTATTCAGCCCATTTTCAGTTCTGTGTCTAGTTATACCGAAACTATCTACCTTTCTTCAAGGGAATTTTTCGGACCCAGTTATCCCATATTAATTCCAGATATTCCTTCATTCCGTTGCAATGTTAGGCTAACCACAGAACTGATTATATAAAGACCACCATAATATACAAATGTTTTAGCTTTACTAATCACATCAGTGCTAACACATTCTAGGAAAACAAGGGTTAACCAGTTGGATACAGTGAGAAGGAAATAAAATCTAAAATAACTGAAATATCTGTTACGGGGTATACTCAGAACATTGATCTCTTTCCCATATTCCAAACTGATTGTTCGCTGTGCAAGTTATTCATGATTTTCTAGTGAAAAATGTGTAACATTAGCGTCTGTGGACGTCTATTCGTTCGTTTGCTTTTGTTGTTGTGTATGTTCAAACTGATTGATGCATTCATCATGACCGTTGTTGGTCGGACTAAGTTCA